TAATTTTGGATTGCTTCTATGAAGGTTGGGGATGAAAAAATTCTGGACTTATATAGTCTTATCATTTGTGTAAGTTGACGTGTTTTTTGTTTTAATCCGTAAATATATATATTTTTTGGTTTAGGTCCCTAATTATGAGTTTATGCTACAGCATTTTTTTTGGTAGGTGATGAACGAATGGTAAAGGCAATGAGTTTTTAACCAAAGGTGGTGGATTCGAATCCCATAATATTCAAAAATTTATGTTGTTAAATTTGTCATTGACACGTGGCACAAATCAAATCAAATTATTAATTTAAAAAAAAATAATAAAACAATTGTCACGTCAGTACTGTTTGCCACATTGTTTTTTAATCGAACTTTAAAAAAAAGATTCAAGAACCAAAATACTATTTCAGTCTTACCTTAATCATCTGGTACAAAATGACACACAAGATACCTTAGATTCTAACGATTGGAGTTGTGCATATGGCTACATCCAATAATATGTTAGAGTGTCACATCATTATATGAAACTAGATGGTCCGAGAGATCAACCTAGGCCAGCTCATCTAAAAAATTATAGGAGGAACAACATAGGCCAGAACATGTCATTGAGGTATTGTCTAGATGTCGAGATATTATATAACTTGTGCAAATGTGTATAAATAGAGAAGTCTTTCCAAAAGAGTCTCATAAAAATGACACTGAATATATTATTCTTACTAAGACACGAACGAAAATGCAATACAAGTGACATCGAAGCAACATGTGGAGTTCGATATATGTAGTAATGTAATATTTGTATTAGATATAATATTACCACTTATATTTTCTTTTGACTTTATTCTAGATTTAGAATTGATATATAGATGGTAATTGTTCTGGGCTGGGTCGACACTTAGTCCACAGTCGAGCAGGCTCAACCCTACATCGGGTTGAAAGGCCCAATAAGACCTAAACTGCCTTCCCGTCAGGCAGAGCCCTTTCTCCCGTCGGGCACGAACCTCTTGGCAGTCGAGCATGCACCTCACATCTGCCATGAACGCTATCCCGTCTGCCCAACTGTCGGGCATACCCTATCCATCTCGGAGGGCTCCTCTGACCTCCCCCATGTTCTCAACGTGTCCCATACGCGGAGACACGTCATCAAGTGAGTACCCGTGCCCTGATTATTCAATCCTCCACCTTCCGGATAGCACGGAGCAGTTACACTAGGGCGAAGACCACGTGCTAGTCTTCCTGACGCCACACCAGCCCTAGCAATTACCAGCATTAGACCTGGCAACCCAGCCCAACGCGAAGTAACTGTTGGCCCTGCGTTGGGAGCCACACTATAAATACCCCCTTTCACTAGAGGGTCAAGTAATATCATTCTTACTTCTGTTTCTGTACTTGTTATCACTCTATCGGACTCTTACTTCGTCATCGAAGTGTGTTTCAGGTACACCCCCTCCATTCTCCCCAGCAGCCAGACATCTCAGACGTGTAACCGGCCAGTGACTCCTTCTGATCAGGTGAGATCAGTAATATATATATATATATATATATATATATATATATATATATATATATATATATATATATATATATATATATATATATATATATATATATATATATATATATATATATATATATATATATATATATATATATATATATATATATATATATATATATATATATATGTTCTGGTCTGGCCCAGCCTCGCGGTCCGGCCCAATAACGCACAAGGCCCGTTAAGTGGACTAGCCTGACCTGGCACACACCCCCATAGGACGGGCATGGCACGCTCCCCGCCGAGCGGGACGACACGTCCTGTAGCAACCTCAACGCCCCCTTTTTCGGCCGAACAGAGCATCCCCGGCCCATCGAGCAAGACCACATGGCTCTCCCGCATCCTTGCGTGCTCCCCTCCGCAGGGAGAACAACGCCCTCCGAGGAACCTCGCGAGCTCCCCTCCGCGGAGAGGACAACGTGCCCAGCGCACGTTCTCCACGTGCCCCCCTATGTGGGGACACGTCATCAACCAACTGCCCACCTCCGAAAGAACAGGTCAAACCCACTTTTCGGAGATCAAGGAGCAGTTGGACTAGGGCGAAGACCACGTCCTGGTCTTCACTACGCCACGTAAGCCCTAACAGTCACCTGGGTTGGTCCTGGCAGTCCAGCCCAACGCAAGTGACCGTTGGCCCAGCGCTGGGGTCTCTCTATAAATACCCTCTTCCTCAAGAGGGTCAGGTAATTCACATCTTGCCCTTTCTGTACTTTGCTCTCACTCTGCCCAATTTCTTACTTTGGCATCAGAGTGTTTTGCAGGTACACCCCCCTTCTCCTCCTCATCATCGGCGAACAGATAGCAGTCCAACAGTGAGTGGTCAGTCCGTGATCCCCTTCTGATCAGGTCAGATCAATATATATATATATATATATATATATATATATATATATATATATATATATATATATATATATATATATATATATATATATATATATATATATATATATATATATATATATATATATATATATATATATATATATATATATATATATATATATATATATATATATATATATATATATATATATATATATATATATATATATATATATATATATATATATATATATATATATATATATATATATATATATATATATATATATATATATATATATATATATATATATATATATATATATATATATATATATATATATATATATATATCTTATTTGATAATTGTATTGTTTAATTAATAAAATAAATTATTATAGTATTGTTATAATACATGGTCTATTACATCAATTAATTTCTAAAATAAAATCAAATTTCCTATCTAGGATGAATATAGATATGCACTTCCGTTTGCCGTCTAAGGGTGAATATAGAGATGCGTCTCCGATATAATTTATGTCAAAATGAAAATGTCTTATTTAAGAATAAATGGGGCGCATATAGAATAAGTACAAAAATATATCTCTGAACTAATTTTAGACAAAAAAAAGAGGTGTGACATCCTTACACATGTATTTGTTGTGAAAAATGGTGCATCCGAGGATGCATTTTGAATTCATACAAGTATTTTGAAATCTCCTAAAAACTACTTCTACATCACAATTACTTGAACATTTAATTTAACATCGCACACTTGAACTTGACACTCATATTTTGAACAAATTTACCTTTTTATGTTTGAAAAAATTCAAGAAATGTTAAAATTTACAGATTCTTACCAAATTTTTTGAATCTATACTAATTTTTTAAAGAAATTTATAGTTTTTAATGCAAAACTATCAAAAATTTATAGTTTTTTTAATGAAATTTTTTATATTATACCAATTTTTTTTAAATTTCTGAAATATTTTTTTATCGAAAATTTTAGAATTTTCAGTGTTGATTATTAGACATTTTGAAATTTCCAATGTTTATTACCATAAATTTTGAAATTTCTAATAGTTTTTTACTAGAAATTTTGAAATATCTAAAAATACAAAAAATTGCATATTGAAAATTTCAATTGTTTTACTAAATATTTCATTTTTGTTTATTAGACATTTTGAAATTTCCAATGTTTATTACTAGAAATTTTGAAATTTCTAATATTTTTTACTAGAAATTTTGAAATATCTAAAAATACAAAATATTGCATATTGAAAATTTCGATTGTTTTACTAAATATTTCATTTTTGGTATAATAGTAAGTGAAAATTTTAAAGGAAAAGTAAAATTTAGTAGGTAAATAATGACTAGGACATTTTAAAAACTTTTAAAATACAAAGGGATGTAAGGTATAATATGGTGGGGGTGACATGTTAATTTCTTCAATTACTTCAGAAACAATTTTCTTATATTTAATTTCACATAATTTTAAAATTTTCAATATACCTAAAATTTTGAAATTTTCAGTATTTTTTACTAGAAATTTTAAAACTTTTAATTCTATATAACTTGGAAATTTTCAATATTTTATACTAAAAATTTAAAATTTTCAAAAATATAAAAATTGCATATAAAAAATTTCGATTGTTCTACCCGAGTTATTGTTTTTGGTATATTAATAAATGAAAATTTTGAAAAAAAAAATTAATTGATAAATAATGGCAATGGCAATTTTAAAATTTTCAGAATACAAATTAATTTTTTCAATTACTTGAGAAACAATTTCCTTATATTTAATTTCATATAGGTTTTGTCCCTACAATTTATTAAATATTTTTTATAAGTGTTACAATAAGTGATTTACTACCTCACGTTTTTGACATTTCACACAAATTAAGAAACTTAATTATTATTTAAAAAAAAAACAAATTATATATAATTTTAAAATGATGCCCCTCATAATTATACAGAAAAATTAAAAGAGATGGAAGAATAAATAATAATAAATACTTGAAAGTATACTGAAAAAATATCATTAATATTGTATTGAAAATATAAGATACCTTAGAATTTAAGACAATTTTTTTTTGTTGACAAAATGACTTAAAATTTGAGACAGAAGAAATATACTCATACACAACCGTTCGAAATTTGCTTCATCTGGAAGAAAACAATTATGATTGTATTCGGAGGTCATGCAGAGCAGACGAACATCATTGGGTTTTACTATATATGTACAATGATATTGTTTTCCTTCAATATTATACACAACTAATGCCTACTACCTAAAATATTCACTGATTTAGAATCAATTCTAAATCTCTAACCATTTATTATTGGTTGCATATGTTGTTCCAGGAACCCAAAATTACCATCTCAATAATGAAAGTAAAGAAAATGCAAAATATGACACTTTACAAAACGAAGAGCAAATGGGCTCTTCTTTCTATGCCTCCATTGGTTGAACGGATGTCAGCCAATGGAGGCTTCTTCTGTGCCTCATTCGTCGAACAAATATAAGCAAGAATAAAATCAAGCAGACAAATTGATGGGGCTTCGTCGGGGTAGAATTTGAGATAGAGCCTTTGATTATGTTAAATGTAGCGAAGCAATATATGATGAAAACGTCCTAGTGATTGGAACTGCTACCAAAACTTGAAGAGATAGGAGCTGATCCAGGCATCTGTTGTGGGGACCAGGGGCACACCCCTTCTTTTGGTGTGACATCTACACTAGGACCATCAACAAGTGGTGAATATGGCTTGGTTACTTTATTTTTCAGCATTCCCTGAATATCAATGGAAAAGAATTTATCACCCAGAAGTCAGAACTGAGTAATATTGTGTAATATTTGGGAATAAACATATGTTCATTAAGCATGCTTATACATCTGAGAGTCAATGACAGTTTAGACATAGTCCAGTTAATTCATTGTGGAAAGGATACCACAATTAATAACTAAGGAATATACAAATGAATGTTTAATGAAGCCAATCGAAGAGGATAGAAACATACTTTTGATGCATTTGGGCCATAAATGCTCAATGCACGGTCAATTGAAGAGTAGACTTGAAGAGCTTGATGGGATTCACGGTTGCATTTTACAACGTGAAGATTTTCTTTCACATCTAATGATCTAGACTGCAAATACAAAATGAGCTGCGAAGGAGGAGATTTTGGGTTGTCCTTTTTTCCATGTGTCAGTTCCATTGTACCAAAGTCATCCCACAGTATTTCCCACACTATTGAACAAGGATCCTTTGCAGGGCTGAACTTCCTCTGACCAATAATATTGGACGGTTGCTGGCAATAAAAAAAGATTGCTGCTAAGTAAAAGTGGATTGAAGAAAGTGGGATTTTTTTTTTGTTCAAAATCCTGAATACATACTTGCAGAAGTATGGCTCTTCTATGAGTGACCATGAAGATTTTCCCTTTTGGAAGCATGAAGTGATCTTCATAAGCATCTGATAAAGCAAACTTTCCTCGAACTTTGAATAGATCAACCTGGCCAAAAAATGAACCTGATTCTGCCAACTGCAGTATTACCTTCATGACAAAATATGGCAATTGTTTAAAATTGAGCTCCCAAAAGGAAGTCAAATTTCATAAAAAATCAATAAAGCAAATTGATTGCACAATACAGTCATGCAACATAACAAGTAAATTAGCTAGCAATATTTTTGTTAGAAGTCACAAGAATGGTCAAATAATGTAGTATTCCAAAGCAAGATCTTCAATCACACTATATTATACAATTCCAGCATTCAACTTTTCAGCCTACAACTGTAGTATCTGTCAAAAGTTGCATATTTCAGAAACTGAGTTATACAATTGAAACATTTGCTTCTTCTATGTTATATAATCCCAGCATTCAACTTTTCAGCCTACAACTGCAGTATCTATTAAAAGTGCGTATTTCCAAAACGAATTGTACAATTGCATCATTTTCTACTTCAAATTAATAGGTAATCCAACCGGTCTTAAATATAAGCAATAGTAAAAATGTATTTTGTTCAAATTTGGATCAAATTATCTTTTCTTTAATCTTGAAAATTGGACGGTTCTAATTGAGTGGATCTTGTTAAGAAATGTGGTTGAGCCTAACTCAACCCTACAAAACCGGTTGGTAGAGTGAGGATTGCTCCCACTTATAAACACATGTTCATGCCATATATTGTCCGATGTGGGACTCTTAACACACCCCCTCACGCTCAGGACTGGACAACTGAAGCGTGGAACTGGAAATAAATGGTGGTGGCCCGATAGCGGAAACCATAGAAGGTGGCCTACCGGATCTTAAAAGAGGCTCTTGATACCATGTTAAGAATTGTGGTTGGGCCTAACTCAACCCTACAAAACCGGTTGGTAGAGTGAGAATTGCTCCCACTTATAAACACATGTTCATGCCATATATTGTCCGATGTGGGACTCTTAACAGATCTCAATAACTAAGCATAGGATTTGGATGAGAATTAACTTTTTATTTTTGAATACATTTCATACCTAGTATTATAATTAAAAGTCAAAAGTGTAAATAACAGAATCAATTTCAGGGCTGTGATTTATAGTTAGTTGCTCATGGTACCTGTCCTTGAGCTTTATACTCCTCATATAATTGAAGCAAATTATCACCACTTATAACACGAGGCAACCTCCTCCGAAGAAGCTGTTCATCAGATGTTATAGCAGAGGCAATTTTCATTCTCATAGCATTGGCACCTTCTGTCGTTTTTGACAGAAGATCCAGAACACCACTCACAGGTTGAGCAGCTGCACCAATAATACCCTTCCCAACACCCTGAACAAAACCTTCAACGCCCGAAGATTTAGCTCCTTCAAGAGGCTTTGTTAAAATGCCAGTTACCCCTCTGAATAAACCTTTAGCAAAAGCTCCACCTCCCTCTCTTATAACATCACCAAAATCCTCCACACCTTTGCTTTCCTGTCACACAGTTATATTAAATAGGTTGTCAGCATCCTACTAAATCACTACATATGACCTGAAAATTTTTAAAACACAATAAGAATAACAAAATAAGGTGGGAAACACACTAGCTAAGAAAAGTACAACTTAAAATCTTTAACTTTTAGGTTTAGTGGGTAATACATTTATCCAAATTTAAAGAACAAGAAAAGAAGAACACCATGGACAAAACCTGTCTTTGTCGACTTTGAATAAACTTCTTATCCATAGACAATGCAGCTACACCCTTGCTCATATGTCCAAGTGCACTACTTGCATTGCCCAATATATCAACACCTGAGAGCAGCTGAAGCGGTTGGCCTAGAAGATCTTTCCGGATATTTGAGATAGCCATGCTAATCATAGAACTCTGCCTCATGCATACATTCTCGTTGAACCTGTGGTTTATCCGGACCTGGATCAGAAATACACATTTATCATTAACACCACTTGTTATATTCTCCAAATCATAAAACTGAGTAAACTTAAGATATAACATCTCATTTGTAAAAAAAAAAAAGGCATAACATTTCAAAACTTGTCTCGCCAAAGATCTGCAGCATTTAAAGATATATCTGCAGAAAAGATAGGTTTCCTAAATTAACATTATTGCATATTTAGTCAAACATTGCCAAGAGTATGGTCACAGAATATCAGCTATAGCCAAGCCTTTGATAGAGTTCCCTAATAGCTACCTGTCAGTGAGGCATTTAGTCACGTGTCTATTAAACAGAATTAGTTAAAGCTCTGTAAGAGTGAGAAACCAAATCTGTTGCAACGGATTTCAGACACCGGTTACTGTTGGGCAATATGGATCTAACAGATGTGTCAGAACTATAAATAACTAGATCTATGTAATTAGATCCCCTTTGGTATTCCACATTCTCTCGTAACTGAAATATCTATGAAATTTTCTGTTTCAACAAATTTCTTAATTTTTCACCTGCTCCATTATTAATACACTCACAACACTGCATTCAATGCTTTCTTTTTCCCCTGTCTCGGCATCTCTTTAGATATACTAGATGTTTTATGAATCTACTATATGGTAATTATTCGCTCGGAAAATTTTAAACGTTTAGAAAAACTTGCACAAGATGTTCATAGTTAGTAAACAAACATATAAGGCTGACTAACTAACCTTAGGCAAAAAGCTACTAGAAATTTACATAACAGTCCGTAAAATAAGGTAAATTTATAGAAAATCATAGAATATGTAGGTTGGATATAACTCATTCCTATAAAACCGATTTGTAAGATGAATACTGCCCAAGCTTTATAAACACTATACATGTCATGTCATATCTCTAAACAATGTGGGACTAAATCCACCACTTCAAACCCAACACAATGAAGATGTTGGAGGCTGCAATGAAGGCAAGCCAAAATGCCGCAATATAGGTGGGCTAAGGGCAGACCACAATGAAGACGAAATTTCCAGCACACCTACTCAGACATTGGCCTCAATGATCCCTTGCGTGGACGGTGCGGAAGTCCAACAATAGATTTAGGATAGGCTCTGATATCATCCTAGAATATGTGGTTTGGCCTAACTCAACCTTACAAAACCAGTTCGTAAGGCGAGGACTGCCCAAGCTCTATATACACTACGCATGCCATATCTCTAGGCAATGTAGGACTAAATCCACCCTTTCAAACCCAACAAAATGAAGGTGTTGAAGGTTGCAATTTAGGCAAGCCAAATTGCCTCAATTTAGGCGGATTAGGGGCGGACTATTAGAGTATAGTAGCAAGTCTGTAACGGTTTGCATATAATTAGCAAAAAAGAATAACAGTTAGAGATGAATTAGTTACAAAGCTTTAGAAAACTCTAGAAAGTTGTTACAACAACTATGTACTGAGCTGTAACTGAGTGTAACTATAACCCAGTTCAGACTCAGCCTATTATAAATAGCAGTTGGCTAATTCAATGTAAAACTAACATTCATTCTCTGTTAATTCATAACAGAATTCCCTCTTCTCTCAACTCTTATTAAATCAATATGAACAATTCTTCATCTCTTCCACTTTTCTATTACAGACCACAGTGTAGGCAGAATATTTACTGCAGTTATTTTTACTATTGTTAGTAGTAACTATATTGGGACCTTTAGTCCATTAGTTAAACACATTAGATGAGAATAGTGCTTGTTGACATTAGAATAGTGCTTGTACATTTTTTGACATTAGAATAGTGCTTGTACATTTTTTGACATACTCGGAATATATTATTCAGTTTTCACATAAGGAAACTAAAATACTTACAGGCATATTTTCCGTGTTGCCTAATGCAGTCATTAAAGATGCCCAAAATCCAAGCACTCCCCTAGGTCTTTGACTTGGAGACATAGCCATCGACACTTTGAACCGTACTTCCGAAATATTAAGGACACTGTAATGTAACGTAATGTTATATAGCTTCTAGAAGCCCAACACACATAATGATGCATTTTCAAGAGCCCTGCTTACCCAATTTGAATGATTGGATCAACTGATGCAGCAGTTGTTTGAGATTCAGACAGCCTACCAAGCTTAACCTGCTGGATCATTTCATGAAGGCGCCAAATAATAGGTTCATGGATGTTTACTAAAAAGGCAGCAGAACTTTCCGGCCCCTGTTTACCATAATCAGTCATAAACAATTAAAATCTCATGATTCATAAACAAGTTAAGAATTGACACATCTCTTTGCTAAATACTTGTATTATAATGTGGTGACACTCACATGAAGACCAATGTATGGATAGACACAAAGATCCAATGATCCATTTGACTGTATTGTAATGGAAAATTTCAGGATATAATCAGTCTCTGACACAGCTCTTTGAGGCCTGAAGAGGACTGGCATTGGAGTTAATGGCAGTTGGTTGTCCACTTGTAGCCCACACATTCTGAGTTTGAATCTGGAACACGAGATGTTGCATTCTCAACATTAGAATTTGTAAATAATGGGATAACCAGACAAAAATGTCTTGTATAGTCATTATAAATCTTCTGGAAAGTGGCCGAGTTGTACCAGTTAGCAAGATATTAGGTTTGAACTCTATTATCACCAGGAAGCTAGAGAAAATCTAACTGAAAATATATAAGTATCCAGCTTCCATGTTGTAAATGAATTCAAAGACGCGTCTGTTGATTAAATGAAAATCTTACCTACTGATTCCAGATCCCAAACCGGTTGAATATGCCAGAACAAGATTTTGAACAGACAGGTACAAAATTTCCTCTGGTGTATGATCAATAATAGACACCCCAAGCTCAGCAAGATCAACATTGATGTGAAACTCAAAGTCTGTATCTGACATTAGTTGTTGCTTTTGAGAATCATTCACTGATGATGAATGTCTTCGGCTCATAACTCCTATAGGTTCAGTTTCAGGCATCCAATCACTGATCTTAACAACATTGGTTTTCTCTTCTTTTACAATTGTTACACGCAATGCTCTGGTTGGTCCTTCTCCTACATGGACAGGCCTGTGATCAAAAATTTCATCGATATCGTACTTCAGTGATTTCATTGGGTCAGCACCATCTACCAAGAGTTCCAACAAACGTCTTCTACCAAGATCTTCCCACAGAAATGAAGCGGCAGAGTTTGGAAGCAGCAGTTGCCAGGAATCACCGATACCATCAGCTTGACGAAAACGAATGGGTAGGAACATCGAACGATTTTCAACTCTGTTGATAGAAAAGCATTTAAAAAACAGGGAAATTCCAACCTAACACAAACAGTGATAAAGTTGAAGAAATAAACAAAGTCAATAAAATTTAGTCTCAAATCTAAACCAAAATTTAGATCACAACAACGGCATAGGTAGATGAAGTAACGGGAAATACTGCATCCTTCAAATGCTACTTAAAAACAATACATCTTATCTCGGACAAGTTGATCCAAAGTCCAAGGAAAACAACCGCTTCAAATGTTTTTCACAATATATTCAAGGACATACGCAAAGACTATTCTCCTTTACCTCAGTGTTAAAACAAAATAAAACACAAAAAGATTATTATTATGATGACTCATGGAGAAGATAACGAGTACAAAAACCTGTAAGGACTTGACAATGAATTCAGACGAAAAACCACTTCAAATCGTGATCTCTTAGCACCACTTCTTACTGCCACCCTTAATTGCATTGTTTCATCTCCAACATCTTTTTTCAAACCAATTCGCATTATACCTTCATAACCTACACTGAATGGTGTACTCCATTTGTAGCCATCGATACGCAACTGAATGAATATAGGATTTGTATGAGAATATAGTAGTTTCTCATACAGAAACTTCATAAGATGATGTAGAAAACAAGACAAATATATAAGCTAAAGATATATTCTGAAAATTAATGACAGACCTTCAAAAGTTCAACTTTAGCTGACGACTGCCACTCAAATGGTTTTGGAGGATCAGTGGGATGTATCCATAGAACAGACTGAGTATCACATTGCTGTAGGCAGAGACTACATCCAACCCTATTGATAAACATTGTGTGTGGCTGGAACTGAACCACCTGGACATCAAATAGTTTGACAGTTACTAATATCAAGGGTAACCATGATAAGTTATAGATATTGCAGGAACATAAGAACATAAACTAGAAAATAAATCAGTATAAGGCAAGTACTAGTATAACCTTCCAACCTTTGTTCTGTCTGAAGTCATTTTCAACAATGCTGAGAGCTTGTAGTAAGATCCTTCAGATTTTAAAGCCTTAACATCAATACGTTCCTACAAGAGTTTCAATGAACATATATAGTAAGGTACAAACAGTACTAATATGTCTTACTAAAAAGAAGAGGCTGTTGGTTTGCTAATTTATTAATAACACCTTGTTTTCCAGTTCAAGCAGAGAAACCCCTGGGCTGTAAACTTCAGAATAGCGCATCGAAACAGAAATGCCCAGCCTAGGTGACAAGTATGAATCTTTCTGAGATTGAAACATTGTACCTCCACTACGGCCAGCATAATCTTGTGGAGAAAGCATGCTGGGAAATGGATTGCTGTCTTCAATTACTTCAAGTACTTGTAGGTTCCTTCTTGAACTAAAATGCCTTCTATCCAGTGAGCTAATGGGATTTTTCAAAGCTGTCTTGGCAGACCTGACAGCCCTAGAAAGTGAGGGCGAATCCATCTCTGCATTTTCCAAAGGTTCCACTTCCACCAATCGATATGACAAAGGCAGGGAAGATTCATTGACAATCCAATAAGGGACAAAAAGTCTTAAGGTTTTTGGTGCAGCACTTGTCCCACCCATATCATGTTCTATACTCAAACGCAATTTCCTGCAAAAACGACCATTTATATTCTTAAAATTTGGATAGAAATTAACTCAAACTTACAAAACCAATTTGTAAAACCAATTTGTAAAGTAAGAACTTCCCCCACTGATGTAATTCATTATTTTTACTACTAATAGTATTAATTAATATTCGGGCTTTTAGTCCATTAGTTAGGCCCATTAGATTAGAATAGTCTTATATAAGAGATTAGTATTTGTAATTTTAACATACTTAAAATATGTTATTCAGTTCCAAATATAGTATCAGAGCCTATCGGTACGACCTTGGGCCGCCCACTGTTTATATCAACGCACCAAGCCCAAAAGAGTGTTGGGCGTGAAGGGGTGTGTTGGAAAGATTCCAAGTCCCACATTGGTTAGACATAGAGACTCTAAAGAGTTTATATAGAGTGACACCCCCTCACCTTACAAGCCGGTAGAGGAATTGGAATATTTAAAAGGAACTCCAGGTAGAGGAATTTTGTTTGAACGAAATGAAAGTGTGGGTCTAGAAGCATATAGTAATGCTGACTATGACTATGTAGAGTCAATTGTGGATAGAAAATCAGCAAGAGGATATTATAATTTTCCGAGTGGGAATCTTTTGACTTGGAAGAATAAAAAACAAAGTGTTGTATCTAGATCTAGTACTGAAGCAAAATTCAGAGCAATGACACAAAGGATATGTGAACTACTTTGGCTGAAAATGATAGTAGAAGACTTGAAGATAAAGATTGATGAATCAATGATCTTGTTTGCACTCCATATGTTTCTTCTCAACACAACGTTACAGATCTTTTAATTAAGGGTCTGAACAACAATAACTTTGAAAATATTGTTTTCAAGCTGGGAATGATAGATATTCATTCACCAGCTTGAGGGGGAGTGTTGTAAATAAGATTTTTACTATTATTAGTAGTAATTTATATTCGGGCTTTTAGTCCATTAGTTAGGTCCAATAGATTAGAATAATCTTATATAAAGAGATTAGTGCTTGTAATTTTAATACACTTGAAATATATTATTCAGTTCCAAATACCCACTTATAAACATATTTTTCAAGTCATATTCTTTTGAACGTGGGACTCTTAACACCCTCCCTCACGCTCAACACTACTAGACTTGGTGTATCGATAAAAATTCTCAATAACAGAAATCTAATAGTAGGTGGGAATTGCCCTTATTTATAAACATATTTTTAGGTCATATCTTATAAGGCACTTAACATATAGATTACACTCATACAAAAATAAAAAAAAGTATCAGGGTTATGTAACAAACGAACTATGATAAAAACTATAGCATATGATTTTGCACAACGTATAACCCAAAGCTTAAAAAATAGTTATTGAAAAATATTTTATTTCCATATTTAATTGTTTACGTTTATTGTCATTTATTTTCTTTTATTCTCCATTAAGAAGAGAATTAAGTATTTTTATTGTATTTTCGTTATATAAACTAACCTTTGGCTGAGGAATAAAAACACAACAGCTTTTATCTATTTCTTCTAATACTAGTAAATGAGAAACGCATTATTAAAAAAAAGAGAAACATATATATAAACTAGAAATTGTTAAATTTGAGATTATCAATAAAAGATGAGAGAGAAAAGTATTATTTGTAACGAACACAGAAATTCAAAAGCAAATGAGTTATGAATCACTTTTAAAAGAAAATGAATCAATTTTCAGTCTTTTCTCTTATCTTACATTTCTTAAGTGTGCTTTGAGATTATCCAGCTCCAAAAATAAATTCAAGTATGAAAATGTAGAAACACAAGAAAAATAATACTCCCCAGAACAAGGCAAAATACACAATCCCTAAGAATAATATTGAAAAAGAAAATTAATGTGACTTATCCAAAAAGCATATTACAAACCTTCTACTTTGTCGGTGAACCATCCAGAAAGATGAGACATGATTAGATAAACCAGGATCCAGCACAAGAATTGGCTCCTGAACCAAGGAGTTAGAGCAAGATGATGAAGAAGAATCAACAAAATTGCAAAACACTAGCAATTTTAAATATAAATATCATAATCATACTATAGTAATACATGCAGAGCTAGATTAGTTATCACCTTTTCCATAACCCAACCATTCTGCACAGACAAAGTAAGGTACAATGGTTTCTGAATATCAACTGAATAGATATGTACACTCTGACGAGAAGAAACTATACCACGATGTCGCTCGACACAGTTTCCTTCCTTTGTTTTCTCTAAGATTGAAAATTCAGCAGGACAAGGAAGCCGGTTTTCCAATTTCATAGGAGAGTTAATAGATATTCTCCAATCATATACAGGGGTATTTAGTTCAGTATTAAGGACTGAGGCATCTGTACCCACACTAAACCAAAACTGTTTACTTCCACTGCTAGGCTTACAGCACAGAAGTATATCCTTTTTCTCAATCTCATTTAGCTTTAAAGAACAATTGGATGTCACAGAATTGGGTCTACAGCCTGGATCTAATTGTTGGTCCTTGCTAAATATATAAGTTGAACCAACAGCTACAGCATGACTCCATGAATACGAGGGCTGAGAATTATCAAAGCTGGGTCGAATTTGCAAATGTTGTTCAGAGTCCTTTGACGTACTTCTCCATGATAAATTGGTAGATGCTCCAGGATGCACAGTACTTACTCCATTCTGCAAGGATTCTACACCTTGTTCAGAAATGGGTTGTCTAGTACGAATCCAACGCCTTCGACGGACAACATCAGAGGCCGATTTTGTTGAAGATTTTGATGAAGTAGGAGGCCATCTTAAATTTTTTATGTCTGATCCATATGCCCAGCCTTCCTTGTCAACATATTGAAACTTTTCTATAGACCAACCTGAAGCCCACTTCCACCCAGGAGGAAGTGGAGGTTCAAAGAAGTCCTGCAAAAATGATACAGGTGAATGAGGATCTTAATAAGTGCTATAGGTATGGAAGTTAATAGTTGATAACAGAAAACCTATAAGTATACCAACCTTTGAAGAGGACAAGAAGTCCCTTGTGCTCCAGTGTCTAGGATTATCAGGGTGTACACCTGGCCAACTGTTACCCCAACCTGATGATGGCTGGTAATACTGATTTTGAAAGACTTCTTCAACCACTGTATTTGAAGTGCTTGTTCCAAGTGAGGGCTCATGACAAGCATGACACGTTGAAATATTCAATATAACATCTGAATCATTCACTACTCCGACAAGACCCCTGAAAATTACATGCTTCTTCCCATTTTTCATCACAACTTCCATACCGATATATTCCTTCTGTAAGAATTTTGGACCAACTGTAAGTGGAAGTAATGATCGAACACTCTCCCACTCACCCTCTGGGTCAAGACCCACCCAAAAACCTATGTCTCTATCACTAGTATTTTCAGTTTCCAATTCTTTTTGAAGATTAGCAATAGTATTTCTTTCAAAATAAGAAGTTGAAACAACGAGGGAGCTGTCATGCATGAATTCAACATTGCTTTGCTGACCCTGCAAATGTGAACGAGAAAGAAGCAAAATATTTTATAGAAATTAATAATTTATCAGATGGACAAATATGATAAAAACAATGTAGTGAATGGTAACTAACCATTCTAGTAAATGGATATGATCTAATATTTTGAGCATCATATGGTTGATGAACCATTCTCACTGAAGCAACTTTCTTAAGAGTATTAGCACCATGTCCAACAGAAAAGGAAAGTGCACCCACGACATCCCCTGCAAGATGAAAAGACAAGTTTTGAAGGAAAAAACAAAAACATACTGAGTTGCAAAAAAAAGAAAAAAATCTCCAATGTGGGTGATAGTGAACCAATAGAAGAAAATGTGACATGGGAAGTTTGATCTAAGAAATTTAACTAATCAGATTGCCTATAAATTTGTTTAAAATAAACAAAGCCTCACTGAACAGACATCCAAACTATATGCGATGTTTCACTAAATAAGGCATTCAAGAAATACCTTTCCCAGCTTTTGCAGCAAGATTTGTAACCTCTATTTCCAACTTAGCAGGGGCCTGTGGCAATTTATCAATGTGACATTAAATACAGCAAACTTATAAGGATGTAAAAAATTTCAAATTGAAGAATGTAGAACGTGTTGATATATAAGTCGGGGGAAATTGCAGATTATACAAAAAAAACCAAAGAAAAAGAAAGTTTCAATGGAGCTCGTATTACATTTCAAAGATTAAATAGGTCCAAATTATGCTATTAAATAAATACATAGCAAGAAAAAATAAATAAATAAAGGAGAAACCATAAGTTGAATGTAAAATAAAAATAGCATAAATGAGCTTTCTTTAGCCTACGCAAGGCGACTTTTCTAACATAATGTCACTATACCAGACCATAAAATTAATATTATGAGAGCACAGTTTAGTTTCTGCATAATGTCATTCTAAAAGTTATTTAAGACAATGGGCATTATAGTAATGACGCACATCACACATAATCAATCAATTACCTTTCGGGGAACTTCAAATATAAATAGTTCATTCCACTTTACATTGCCTTCATCACGATTATTAACTATTGATATTATAGGCTTGACACACTTTGTTCTTGCACTCTGTGGAAAAAGCTTTTGCTGCTCGGACGCCTGACTGTCAACAACAAGACGCAAGGCACAGAAGAAGTTATGGCTGTTACCATCATCAATTATAGACAAACCCTGCAAAATTTGAAATGAAATGATTTCAATGTTATGGCTTGGAAGGAAAAGCAGGCATCCAATTAGAATTACGTATAACCATTTGCATCATGACCTTTGCTTCCAGTATCTGTACAGCGACATAGTAACGTGCTTCTCTAGATTCATCTGCAACATTTAACCTATTTGAAAACCGTGGAGGAGGAATCCACACAGACACACAGTCTCCGTGAGGTAGCATGTCAACTGTATCTACATCATGCTCAACTTTTTTGACAAAGATATCACACCCAAGTTTATTTTCTACTATTACAGTCTGCAAGTCATCCTCATCTAGAGCAGAAAAAGTTGTACTTTCTCCTTTGTGTTGACCACCAGCCTCCTGCAAACCAAACAGTTAGCAAGGCTTTTAAAAGTTATGAGCTTTAAGGGATAAATATTGATAATGGATTCAGAATTGACCGCATTTAGCTTGGATGCTTTCTGTTCAAACTCTAACTGTCTTCTCCATGAATGAACACTTCCCACAAAGGATTCAAGATTTGCTCCACTGACATTTACATTCAAGATGCTAGTTGCAGAAACTCGAATTCTCTTACCTAATCCGAACGGTGATTGTGCATTTGTATCAAATGTTTCAAACCTAAACAGTTTAGTAAGGAAACATAATTACCGGCACATTTTCAACAGGATTGGTCCATGAGTATGTCAAAAGAACATACTGAAACATTAGTATATTTTTAACTAAAATACTGAGAAATCACATAACCAATCAATTACTTGAATATTCCATCAAATGGTTCCACAAGGGGTTCCCATGCCTCTAATTGTGCATTGAAGGTTGATGCAACAATGGAAGAAATAAGCACTGCATTCATCCCATGTAGCCCACCATGTGTTGCAAGCTTAATATTGGTAATTGTAGTGTCAAACAAGGGTCTCATCTGAAAAAGTAGTTCAATTCATCAATCAATTTATAAAATAACTCCTTTATCAAAATTACTGACATTTGTTTTGTAAAAGGCATCGAAAAGCATACCATTCCACATAAGCTGTCTAAAATTGTCAGGGAAAAGTATCGCAGCTTCAGCTCAGCATTTATGTTCTCCCGGGTCTTTGGTTTCACTGAATCACCAATTATGTAGGCCAAACGACTTGACGGTTTTTTAAGGTCAGAACGAGCCAGAAAAGTGCATGCCTACGTGTATATAACATGATAAATAAACTTTGTTTTGGAGTTTAAAACATGTCACAGCCGCTCAATGGCTACAAGCTTTTCATAATGTGAAAGCTATCAGAACTATCCTATTCAGATCTAATCTTTATCTTTCTTTTTTGTATTTTTCCCGGCTTTTTAAGGTCAGAACGAGCCAGGAAAGTTGCAGTAGATTGGTTGGTACTTTATTTAGCAATGAGACCTTTATATTTATTAGAGTATAGAGTTAGTATAGGCTCAAAGACTGACATGTGTCAGTCTGAGCATTGTTCAAAACCTGCTACTGCAGATCATTAGCATTGTTCAAAACCTGCTACTGCAGATCATTAGCATTGTTTAGAACCTGCTATTGCAGGTCATTCATATCTGCTGTATAAAAGCAGAATTGCTGTAACTGTTTGTAACTAACAATAACAGAAATATAAAAGTTAATTAGAAATTCTGCTTCCTCTCCTACCACACCCTCCCAGTCACAAAGCCAGTTTGCTCAGAACATAGTTTTACCCTCTGGCTGCAGGTCTCATAATACACAATCCAGTGATTCTTCTCATTCTTCCAATGCTTCTGGTTCAAGACAGACATGTCCTGCCTCCAGCAGTCACCCTGTCAACTCAGAGAACTCTTCTTCTGCATCTCAAGCTAGCTCGTCCACTGCTTCAGCTTCTTCAATCACAAACCATGCTATCCCTCCTAATGCAAACTAGAGCCAAACCTGGCTTTGCTCAGCCAAGACTTCTCTTGGTTACCACTGAACCTAGGAGTGTTAAGTCTACTCTAGCAGATGTGAATTGGAAAGCTGCTATGCAGGAGGAATACAATGCTCTAATCAACAACAATACCTGGACCCTTGTTCCCTTACCTCCTCAAAGAAATGTTATTGGTTGCAAGTGGATTTTTAGGGTTAAGGAGAACCCATATGCCACAGTCAACAAGTACAAGGCCAGACTAGTGGCAAAGGGGTTTCATGAAAGGTATGGGTTTGATTTTATTGAGACTTTTTCCTCTGTAGTTAAACTTATAACTATCAGACTCCTTTTATCCATTGCTCTCACCCACAAGTGGCAAATTTAGCAGCTAGATGTAAATAATGCCTTTCTCAATGGTCTTCTTCATGAAGAAGTTTATATGGAACAACCAAAAGGCTTTGAGAGTGACAATCCAGCCTTGGTCTGCAAGCTCAATAAGGCTCTCTATGGCCTAAAACAAGCACCTAGACAATGGTTTGACAGACTGCAAACTACTCTTGTTCAGCTCAAATTCAAACTAAGCAAGTGTGATCCCTCCCTGTTTACTTTTTGTGTTAGAGGACACACAATCTACATGCTTATCTATGTGGATGATATCATCACAGGGGACTCATCTTCTCTCATTCAAACAACTATTTCCAAGTTGAATTCAATCTTTTCCCTTAAACAACTTGATTACTTCCTAGGCATTGAAGTGAAAAAGACTGCTCATGATTCTTTGTTACTCACTCAATTCAAATACATCAAGGATCTCCTTTTGAAAACCAACATGTTAGAAGTCTATCCTGTTCAAACGCCCATGCAGCCCTCTTGTAAACTGACCAAAATTGGCTCTGCAGCTATGGCTGATCCCTCGTTGTATAGGTCAGTGGTTGGTGCATTGCAGTATGTCACTCTCACCAGACCTGACATTGCTTATTCAGTCAATAAAGTTTGCCAGTTTATGTCTCATCCTTTAGAAACTCATTGGGTGGCAGTCAAAAGAATTCTTAAGAGTGTAGAGATAGTATAGGCTCAAAGACTAACATGTGTCAGTCTGAACATTGTTCAAAACCTGCTACTGTTGGTCATTAGCATTGTTTAGAACCTGCTATTGCAGGTCATTCATATCTGCTGTATAAAAGCAGAATTGTTGTAACTGTTTGTAACTAACAATAACAAAAATATAAAAGTTAGTTAGAAGATGAAAACTCTCTCTCATCCCTTCATAATAATATTCAATCTTAGTATAATCTCTTCTCATGAATGAGAGAAACAATCATTATCTTCTCCTAAATTGCATGGTACAGTGATCCAATGGTGAAAACATAGACAACCGCACTAATTCCAACCCCCACAAAAATTAGAATCTAAATAGAGCGACCAATAAGGATCACCCTCGTCTAAAATTCCAACAGAGAACTGTTAGTGTATAGTGTCCTATTGACCTCACAAGATGGTTACAATTTGTTATTTTCACTTTAGGGTTGGTTAAACCAAACTGTTTCCAGAAGAATTTATTAGAACTCTATAAAAACCTATGTGATGAGATCAACGGGCGTAGAACTCCGGCTTCTCAGAAATAAAGTATCAGATTCTATCTTTCATTTTTTTAAATCATTTTGTCTAGAGCATGAAGGAGATCCAAGGCCATGGTTTATAGTGAATGCCCTGTTCCACATTATATGCTCTCCACTAACGGATCAAAAGTTTATTTGCACCTATCCTCCAACTCTTGACATTCTTGGTTTTGCACCACATCATACCCATCAACGGTTGACATTCTTGGTTTTGCGCTGATCACGTACTCTTTTAGAAGCTCACAATTCAAACTTTTATCCTATGCCCACATTTTATTGTCAACCCAACCATCCCACCCTGACTCTTGATGAAGATCGAGGTAAAATCAATGAAGCCTGAACCAAGTTAGGCAATAAAACCTACTCTTACTCTCTTAGTTGTATTTTCTATCTCGACCCCTAATTTTCACACACATTATTGGTTACATCCACTCTTGAAATTGTGGGACACATGGTTGTCAAGATCTCAATCTAGATCTTAAAATCTTAAGATTTTACGATCTCACTCATTCCCAATGATCCAGATCTTAAAAGAATCGCGTGTTATAGCCAAATTGCGATTTTTTTTGTAAAATCATTGATTTTGTGCGATCTTTGCCAGTTTCGGACATGATTGGTCATTTTCCAGCCACCACGATTAAAAGTGAAAAGGATGACAAGATACGTAGGCACAACAATTATGGTTCGACGGCTATGAATGCGTGTCTTTTGAAATAATGAAGTTTTAGATTTATAGTGTTTCCAACAAAAACGGAAGAGGAAGAGGAAGTATAAAGACTTTTAATTGTTATAGTATGATATAACAATTTCTAATGATGACTCATGATGACTATGGTAATACAATAAAAATTACGCATGGTGGATATCTATGCATCAACTTGAATGTTAGGAAAAATCATTTGAATTAGTTTAGATTACTTGAGTGTTAGCAGACTCGTCGGCATTGCCCTAACCAACTCTATCTTTAATATTCAATCTTTATATCTTTTAATTCTTTTCACAAGGGAATAATAGAACCAGTTATTATCTAAAATGACATAAATAAGCATTACAATGAAACATTTGTACATCACACATAAGCAACCATATTTGTTTTACTTTAGAAAACATTTAGAAAGCATTTTTTAATCCAATCAAGGAAGTGAAAGTTATGGTTAACCTGATTTTCTACTCTCCAAATGCTCCAGGATTGAGGACCTCTTGAGTTTGAAGATCTTGAAAGAGGAGTCTCATGAATGTTTGCTTGGCTAACAAGATCCATCCTAGGGCAGCAAAACAAATTTGCACGTGGTGCTTCATCGGTTCTTGAGACAACACAACCTAAAGATACATAACCTGGAGGAGCAACAGGGTACCAGAAGAAAACTTCCTCAATCCCTTTCCCTACAATATGGGAAACTTTGGTAAATTGAAGAGGTTTTGAAGAGATGTCAGGATTGTCATTCTTGAAGATTATTCCCAGTGCAGGAGGTTCTAGGCTGAAATGCAGGTAAAGAGAAAATATTAATAACCATAAGACTTTCAACTAAAAGATAGATGGTGGGAAGGTTTAAATAAAAGGCTTAAAAGATAACAATGTCTAACCCTTCAGTGATGCAATCTCCCAAGACAGCATAACCATGACGTGCAATAGGTCGCCAAATAGAGACTGGGCGGCGGAGGTCGCTACCTTTGTCCCACCAAATCCTTTCAAAGTTGGGTGTAGACATATAGCAGTTAGTTGCTTTTGATATGGATTTAAGAATATCCCATCCAGATGTATTCATGCTTTTAGCACTCTGCTGATTATTATTTTCCTGATCAGAATTTAAATCTGATACTGGAGCTACAAGAGGAACTCTATTTGAATTCCAAACAAGCAGATGATTTAAGTTGTAAAGTCCGTCTTTGAGAGGGCAACCAGAGGAAGAATGTGCAAAAAAAGAGCCAATAGCATTGTCAAGGCGCCATATGCTAAATCCAGAGGTAAACTGATAATTTGATGGGATATTAAATATGCAGTCCGAATACTTTGCTGATGTTACAAGATCAGAACGTAGGCAATGAACAACATTATTCGGGGGTGGCTGGTTCCCAACATGGGCTACACAGCCCAGTGCTGTGTATCCTGGGGGCGCAACAGGCATCCAAAGAGAACAATCACTGGCAGAAGTAGAATGGCTATCACTTCCACCACCTTCAATATTCTGAAATGACCCTATAAGACGGAAATCAACTGGCTTCCTTACACGACCATATGTGTTACTTACTGCCATTACTGCCTGTGACGGAGGAATTGGCCTGAAAAGACATTGAAATATAACATTAACATAGCAAAAATTCAGATCAGAACCAGAAAAAAGTTTCACAAATAAAACTACTAGCAAAATAAGAACACCATATCGCATTTAATGTAGAATGTAGATGGAAAACAATATTCACTATTTTCCTGTATTCAGAAAATGATTTCATCAATTGAACTCAATCAGCTACTAAGGAAAATAGTAGCGTAACACTCTTTGAAGATGTTTGAGCCATATCAGCTCGCATGTAGTGTGCCCCATAGCTCAATACTCAACCTCCGCATGGGATATAACAACAGCATTATACTTCTCGCTTTTCCATGAAATCAAATATCCTTTCATAAGCTAACAGTATCAATATATGGATCGTCTTTGGCATGTACATCCTGCCAAATGTGCATCTGTTGTATACAACAATATCTGAATGACCAATGTTTGTACATGTTAAGAGTCCTACATCAGACAATATATGGCATGAACATGTGTTTATAAGTGGGGGCAATCCTCACTCTACAAACCGGTTTTGTAGGGTTGAGTTAGACCCAACCACATTTCTTAACATGGTATCAGAGCCTCGTTTAAGATCCGGTGGACCACCTTCTATGGTTTCCGCTATCGGGCCACCCAACATTTATTTCCACGCTTTAGTTGTCCAGTCCTGAGCGTGAGGGGGTGTGTTAAGAGTCCCACATCGGACAATATATGACATGAACATGTGTTTATAAGTGGGGGCAATCCTCACTCTACCAACCGGTTTTGTAGGGTTGAGTTAGGCCCAACCACATTTCTTAACAGTACATGTTAGAAATTTCGCCTTCATTGCGGTCTGCCCATAATCACCTAATTCCAGCATTTGGCTTGCCTTCATTGCAGCCTCTAACACCTTCATTGTGTTAAATTTAAAGGGGGTGGATTTAGTCTCACATTGCTTAGAGATATGTTCTGTAGTGTTTATAAAACTTGGGCAGCCCTCACCTTACAAGCCGGCTTTGTAGGCATAATTAGACTCAACCCAAATTCTAAGAGTGCATACTAGACCTTTCCCAAGCTACCTCTTCAATGTATTTATGAAACACCATTACAAATACAAGTAGTTTGATCTAACAAAAGACAATTTACAGATTTCTATAATAGGAATTAAATTTGTCTTGTGTCAATCAAATTACATTAAAAAAGAATATTTACATAGAAGATTTTAAAGCAGATAGTATCAAATCAAATATTCTTTTGACTACACATATCTAAACTACAAATGAAATTTAAAGTTACTATCTTAAATAGTACTTCATTGCATTTTACCAGGTCCAAATTTAGTGATAACAAAGTTTTACACTGGCGCGTTTTCATGGGTACAGTAAAAAAAGTTGATTAAAAAGATTGAACACAACCAAAAGAAAAAGTATACCTTGATGTCACACAATCTCCTAATACAACATAATTAGCCGGAGCTTGAGGCCTCCAAAAGGTAATATTGTTGTTGGGACCAGTCTCTGCAAAATAGAGACGACCGAACAGTTCATTGTATGAACCTGTTCTCTCAGCTATATGGTATAAAACATATAATTGTCCAGCAGCAAAATTGAGCATGCGAAAGTAAATAAGAAAAAATTGTAGTAACGCTATTCAGCTTAATTAGAAAGAAACCTTTTTCAGACACCCAAATTCGGTCAAAGTTGGTGCATGGAACAAGGGGAGTTGCACTTCCCAAATTTAATGCAACAGATGCCTGACTTTGAAGATTTAGTATAAGAGAAACAGCACTAAGTGAAAGATGAATACAAATGTCCGTTGATAGCAAAGATATATTTGTTTTATCTTTCACAGAAGTATATCCCCCTGAAACATCCACTGGATCTAGAATGATAAGACCAGAACCAGTTTCAACAGTAAAATCCTTCGCCAGGGCTCTAATCCAAGTGTCGTTTTCCTTGGACGCATACCTACTCAAATAAACAGAGGAAATTTGCAGATCAAACATTTGCCGAGAAACTCGTTCAATTTTTAAAGAACGTATTAAGGAAAAGAAGAGAAATTGAGCACTGCTTTGCTCAACTAAGTTGATAATGAAGGTTTTGAAAAAGAGAAATTTCGAGAATGAATATGGAAATTCTTGGCAACAATAATTTCAATTGAGGAACAATTAACTATATAACACAATGTCTAATAAGTGGTTACCGGTTAATGGACTAACAGTATAATGGCATGATTAATCACTTAGTTAATTGTTCGTGAAGTGAACAGAATTTTGCCAAGAACTCCTAACAATTATTTTCCCAAGAAAATTTAATGCTGACAGCAAAGACATCTCACATGAAGCTAAGATCCAACTTTGCCCGGATAAGCTTCTCGCTATAAGATGAATCATCGAGAAATGACTTAGTACCATCATAGAAGGTGAACTCGGAGGAAACAACCTAACAGAAAAGCACAATAGCTGTTAGATAGAAGACCACCAAAAAACTAAAAAGCAAAATAGAAAATGAAAGATGTCAAATCTTCAAGGGGTGGGTAGTTGTTGATGTAAAGTTCTTTCTAATGTGTTCTATTGAAAAGAGAAAACACGGTTAACACCGAAAAAATGCAATACAAACTATCTACACTAAATCAATAAACCATTTATGGAGCTTCTTATCACCTACTTGGATTGGTAATGAAACTAATCAAGGATAACCGCTTATTCAGTATGATGGAGAATTACAGGTAAGACATATTATGTCTTGAATTGAAATTCAGACAACTAAAAACTATTCGGAGAAGCATTTTGCAATTTTAAAGCACAAATATCCCTATTTCAGAAGAGAAATGAAGTCCTAATCTGATTGGGATAAGATAGGTCAAAACAAATAAACTTTAAATTATCAAATTATAGATTATTGATAACTGAACTCTCAAATTGCAAACCACAATCACAAATTATAATTCATCATAAATTAATCATCCATCATGCTGCATTCTCTGCATAACGATTTTTTTATACCATAAAGGTTTATAATTGCACTTGTCTTCCTTTTGCTTAAAAACAATTCAGCACAAAGGAAAAATAAAATAAAAGCTATAATGTGATTCAGAAAAACTGCAAAGATCCAAGGCACAAGTTTTGATCAACAAAGCATAAGCATACAAAGAGATCCATATGATTCATGGAAATGTGAAGCATATTACCTGGGTTTCAAACGTAAAACTTTGAGTACCATTTGATTCACTCTGAGAATATAAGGAAGACCCTGATGTTTGATTTAAGATTTCAAGGCTTTGCTCATCACCAGAAGACAAATCACCTGGAACGACAATGTCCACACCATCTTCAATAGAGGTTGAGTAGCTGCTATCATTACTCAGGTACGTATACTTCCTTAGGAGAGAACCATTCTGATAGATAAATAACAAAGATATAAGCTTCTAATATAAATCAACTCCTAATACATAAGCAATAAATTCTTTTAAACCATAAATCACATTGTGGAAGATTTTGATTCCTAAGGATTTAATAGTTCCCCCAAACATAAACAAGAAATTGGAAAAACTAACTTACTGATTAACAGGAAGTTATTACCTCAATTTTTACATTAACAAATCGCAATCTTTTGCCACATCCAATGACTATAATTGGTCTAGATCTTGTACTGCGGACTTCTTTTGTATCTGTTTCAACAGATAGACAAATAACCTTTCCACAGCCATCATATGTATATTCGTCAATGCCTACACAATCTGCAACTAACTGTTTAGATGGGGAGAGGTGCACCACATCTTCTTCCTGCCTGTAAACTGTTTCCATCAGCACTATGCTACTGTTTCTGCTAATGGGATCATTCTTTGGATCCATTGTTTCCTCTCTTCCAGTGAGTGCTCCAAGAGAAGGCACAAAAAACTCTGCCACTGCAAGAAGAAAATCTGGCACAACAAGGACTCGAGGTTGCTGCACACGAATTACAAATGATTGTGATGACATACGCCACCTATAGTCCATCAAGAACATTGTTGAAATGGGTGTATCATCAATTCCAGCTTCACTGCTTGTCCTCCGAAAGCTACCCAGGTTAAACGAAACGGGAACCTTTATAGTACCAGCTTGTTTGAAAGCATCAGTGGAAGATCCAAGCATCAGGCGCATTTCAGGTTTCGTATCAGGGCGAAAATCTAGAATAGAAAATTTTGGAATTGTCACGAACAAGTCTGTCTCTGATGAAGATGTCATGCGATATGAAACCCAGAGACCTTCCAGCTGCAAAAGTAATGCATTTAAATAAATGAGAATAAAGGTTAGCACATATAATTCAGACATATCATGCTGACAAATAAGTTCATTCATTTAGTTAAAACAAAACCAAAACACTACAAAACTGTCATGGAAACAGCTTCATATAGATAAAAGTGAATCATGTGTAAAATATACACACCGCAATATGAGCCAATGGAGACTCCCCATCAGTGCCATTACAAAGCTCCAGCAAGGCATGGTTCACCACAACAGATATAATTGTAACTGTCTGAGACAACAGAATTTGACTGTTCAGGTTAACCTTATCAACTAGAAGCTTAATAGTATCGTTCGAATCAGATTTTCCACCCCGAAAACTAGCAGGAAGCCTTGGTTCTTCTGATAAATTCATGAATGTACAATCCAAAATCACCTTATATTCTTTATCAGACATTATACCATGCAATAGATCCACCTGCACAAGAGATCATAAAGTTAACTTGAGAATAATTTTTTTTGTGAAATTCAACTAAAGCATGCAATCACAGTATGAAACACGGATATTTCTAAGATTAGGCATGTCACAGTGTCCGACACTTGTATGACACTCGTACAACACATGTCTGACAATTCACACAAGTGTTTAAAAAATATTTTTCTTTTGTTTCAGCACACCTTATACATTTTTTAGACAAAATTCAAACACATCTAAAAGGGTTAAAGAAGTGTAGAAGCAATGTTGATCAATGAAGAATTAAAAATATTAAATTTTACGAATATTTAAAAGATGGATATATAATATCATATATGTAGTGGTATTGGTGTCTTTTGTTTTTAATATTATTGTGTCAGAGTGTCTATCATGTCGTATTCCGATATAAGTGTCAGTACTACATAGATCATAGCAATTTATGATATTAAAGCATTGTGGGTTTAGAGTTGGAGAAGATATAATCCGAGAATTTAAGGGAATTGAGAGAAATTTAAAGAAAAAATTAGTGGTATCTGAAAATCACTCAGTCTAATTTTGGCTTGCAGCAGTATTTATACTTGAGTATCATTCTAGAAGATTTGCATAATGCACACACACAAGTCCTGAAAACGAAACAGCGTGTATCCTCAAAGAAAGTACTCCCTCTGTCTCATAAAAAGTGTCTCATTTGTACTTTTTTTATGTCTCAAAATAAATGTCTCTTTAGAATACCAATACAACATTTATTATTTTTTTCCACTATTATACCCCTATTCATTAACTTTCACGATTTTCAACTACTCCACTAACTATAATAAATAAGGGTATTTTAGTAAAAGATACTAATTTTATCATTAAAATCAACACATCTAATCTATTTCTTAAGAACCGCGCACAACTTAAATAAGACATTTATTATGAGACGGAGGCAGTAACATCTACTGAAATATTAAGACGATGTGTAGATAAAGAGTAACACCGATACCTTTTTGAGTTCTAGAATAACCCAAAAACACATTGTTAAGAAATATAGTTGAGCCTAACTCAACCCTACAAACTAGCTTGTAGGGTGAGGACTGCCCCCACTCATAAACAAATGTCTGTCATAAATTATCTGATGTAAGATTCTTAACACAACCACTCATGCCCAGAACTAGACATCTGGAGCGTGGAAATAAATGGTGGGTGATCCGATAGCAGAAACCTGATAATAGGTGGTCCGCCGGATCTTAAATGAGACTCTGATACCATATTAAGAAATGTGGTTGAGTCTAACTCAACCCTACAAACCAACTTATAGGGTGAGGATTTCCCCCACTTATAAGCACATACGTATTTATGCCATGTATTGACTCTTAACACACATTTGATAGCTCGTGTAGACAATTTGTTCGACCAGGAGAGAGATCATGAACAAAACATGTAGAGCCATATACACAAAGAGGGACATCATACAACATGTCCTTAGGAAACAAGAGTGAGTGTGGGATCTTATTATCCAATATTGAGGATGGCATGCGATTTATCAAATAACAAGCGGTGAGAATAACATAACCCCAAAATTTAAAAGGTGTGTGGGCCTTGATCAACAAGGTTTAAGCTATATTGACAATGTTTTCTTCCAGCAACACTATTTTGTATTTTGTTGTGGTGTGTATGCACGCCTAGGTTGGTGTGTAATACCTTGAGAAGCCAAAAAAGAGTTGAATGATGCAGAAAAATATTCTTTTGTGTTCATTCTATAAAATTCAAATTACTTTTCCAAATTAGTTCCTTATCTCTGAACAAAACATCGGAAAGAAATCAATTAATTGCGAACAATCCTTCAATAAAACTATCCAGGTGCATCTAAAAATGTCATTCATGAAAGTGGCATAGTATTTGTATCCCAAAGGAGACGACGCCCGACTAAGACCCCCAAAAATCATAATGAACAGTGTCGAAGGAGAGATGGATCTTTAGTTGGAGCTGCTTGAAAAATATGCTCTAACATGTTTGCCAATCTAACATGACTCATGATCCAATGACTTTAACATAAATGTTAAAGCTCAAGAACAATATATTAAATTTATCTAAACTTGAATGACCCAAACGACGATGAATGACATTCGAAATTGCAGAAACGTCTTTGATGTAAATAAATTAGTTTTATTACTATCAGTAGTAATTTATATTTGAACTTTTATTCCATTAGTTAGGCCCATTAGATTAGAATAGTCTTATATAAAGAGATTAGTGCTTGTAAATTTAACATACTTAAAATATATTATTCAGTTCCAAACATGGTATCAAAGTTTAGTTTCTTTTTCAAAACCATTGTCGCTTTAATTGCGGTTCTTTTTTCAAAACTCTAGCCGCCTTTATTGCGGTACTTTTTTCAAAACCCTAGCCTCCTTATATGTAGGTGTTGATATATATATATATATATATATATATATATATATATATATATATATATATATATATATATATATATATATATATATATATATATATATATATATATATATATATAATGTTAACAATATTTGGATATAGAATAGTCTCACATCGAATATATCATGTAATTAGTTGTAATCTATCTATATATAATAATGTCTTCGTAGTGCTTTTCAAAACAAACGGTTTATTCATATGTCTCTTAGTCTCTTGTATTTCAACATGGTATCTAGAGCCTACTAAGAGACAACTCTTTCTTCGCCATACTTTATCCGGTTGACCTACTGCCTTTCACTTTGCAAAATTTTCCGGTAACCGCCTTGCCGCCACTGTCGCCGTTACTATTCCGGCAAAACTTTCGGCGACGTTTCGAAAAACCGACCCCACCATCCCACTCGCCGTCCTCCGATCCGGTCGTCGCCCTTTTTTCCGCCGCTGCCCCAGCACGTCCAGCGGCTGGTTTCGTCCGTTTTTCCGCCGGTCTACTTGCTTCTCCCCACCTATTCCAGATCCGGCCTCTGTCTTACTTTCCAACTCACGGAAAACGGTGCTACAGTGCAAACAGCCCCGATTTCACTTCGTTTTTTGTGTCATTAAGCCATGGGAGACGCTGATTCTGTCTCGTTTACTAAAGTTCCGCTTATCCCATGTGAAAAACTAATCGGATCAACAACCTATAACATACGGGCTCGTGTTGTCGATATGTGGTTTCATGGTCAGGGATATGAAGATCACCTAACCACACAATTGAGTAATGTTGTCTCCGCCAAACTCGCTAAATGGAAGAAAACTGATGCCTCTCTCCTTATCGTGTTATGGTTCTCCATAGCACATATCCTCCACTTGCTATGAGGTTTGTAAAAAGGCCAAAAAGGTCTTCTCCAACGACGTTCATTGTCTATACAATGTCATCCTCAAACTCGACACACTGAAGGTGGAAAATATGGATATGCAAACCTATCTGAGTAAGCTTGATGCCTTGAAAGCAAGTTACGTAGCCCTCATGCCGTACGCAAAAGATGCAAAACAGCCTATACCGAACAATAGAGTAAATTTTTCATGGTCATGGCACTTAAAGGACTACCATCTGAACTCGACTCTGTTCGTAACCAGATTTTATCAGGTACTATTGTTCTTAACTATGATGCAGTTAGTGAACAAGTGTTGCGCTTGACTACACCTCATGCGTTTGTTGCCCCTTCATTTACTGTTGCTCCAACACCAGGTGACACTGCTGCCTTCGCATCTCTTGGTAACAATCAGAATCGCCCTCAAGGAGGGTCATCCAACTCCAAACCTCATCCCAAGTGTGACCATTGTAACCGGCTTGGACATACTATCAACTGTTGTTGGAAGCTACATGGCAAACCTCCACGTCAAGTAAATGTAGTTCAAAGTGATAACCCAGACACTATGCAGACTTCACCTTCTATTCAAAACCATACGCCAAGCTACGAGGATTTTCTCAGGTGGTGTCAGACTAATCAAATCTCTAGTTCCACTGCTTCAGTTGCAGACATTGGTAATTCATCTGTTTGCTTCTCTCAATCATCTCTTCTTGGTCCTTGGGTCCTCAATTTTGGTGTGTCTGATCATGTTACTGGTATTAAAGGTCTTTTTTCTTCCCTCTCTACCTCTGGTTTCTTACCTATTATAACTGCCGCAAATGGTTCTCAAACCTGATCCCAAGAGATTGATATTGTTCAAGTTTTACCATCTTTCTCTGTTACTTCTGTATTATATATACCTAATTTCCCATTTAATTTACTGTCAGTCAGTCGTTTAACTCGTTCCATTAATTGTTCTATCACCTTTACTAATAATAATGTTACTTTGCAGGATCAGAGTTCGGGAGAGACAATTGGCGTCGGATGTGAGTCTCAAGACCTCTACTACTTCTCTACATCATCTACCACATGCTCCACCACAGATTCTCCACTCATTATACATGTGCAGTTAGGTCATCCAGGTCTTCCCAAGCTACAAACGTTGATGCCCAGTTTATTTAAATTATCCACTTTACATTGTGAGTCTTGTCAGTTAAGGAAACATACTACTAGTCACTTTTCAGATTGAATCAATAAACGGGTTGCGTCCCCTTTTGCTTGAGTTCACTCCGATGTTTAGGGTCCCTCACGTACCGTGTCTACTTTAGAGTCTAGATATTTTGTAACTTTTATTGATGATTTTTTACGTTGCACATGGCTATTTTTAATGAAGAACAGGTCTGAATTGTTTTCCATTTTTGAACAATTTTATCGAGAAATAAGAATCCAATTTGGTTTGTCTATTCGTACCTTAAGAAGTGACAATGCACGTGAATATTTATCCCAACAATTTCAAACATTTATGTTATCCAATGGTATTTGGCACCAAACATCTTGCCCTCATACACCCCAACAAAACAGGGTAGCTGAACGCAAAAATCGGCACCTCATAGAAACCACTCAGACCCTACTTCTCCATGGTAATGTTCCTCTCCGGTTTTGGGGAGATGCGGTGCTCACGGCATGTTACCTCATAAATCGCATGCCCTCATCTGTCCTTCATAATAAAATTTCTCA